ATACGACAGATGTGATCATACTTATATATGTGCAAAACTTTTCGAGAGTTGAAAAGCAAATCAACGGAACACAGATGAGTCATCAGTTGCCGTGACGTCGATCATCCTGGTTTCCTGTCCTGAAGAAAGGTCATGACCTTGATGCCACAGTGGCCGGTCGAAGCTGTTAATCAACGAGTCGCCTCACATCGCAGCCGCAACAGCAGCACTTATAACGGTTACGATGGACCCAATGACATTTCCACGGGGGAGTGTGATTAATTGCTTAATTAGCGACCGGTAAATCTTTCCACGATTCAAAGCTAAGAAAATACTAACTGACCCAACAGTTGGTTGCCAATTTGTTCATTCCCTGATGATTGCTGAGAGAGATTCGGTCAAAACGTTGGAAAAGTTGTAAATGTGATTTTTAATTATTTTTGTGCTGCCAGCCATGGAGTCATAACGCCCATTATATTCATTTCCTTCGAACTAATTGCAAAACATTCGTCACTGGAGTTAAACGTCAAATTTTAGGTACTGGTGGTGGCATGTTCATAACGCATTTCTGACGTCAACAGGTCAAAGTTTCATAAAGTGTTTATAAATAACTGTATGCGCTGATCACCAGTGAACCATATCCTCTGGTTTCCTTTTAACACAGACATCTATCTTTGTTTTGTGTATGGCTTGATGTATTCAGCACCTGGCTGATCGCGTGTTTCACACCACACTTCATTGTGCTTCTATCAAAATATGCTATCCTGTACTGGGCAATGAAAACAGGCGGCTTATTTGCCCTAAAAAATAGATTATTTACAGATATGTATATTTAAAAGTGATAATCATCATAATCACAAATGGATGGAGATTCCTTGGACTGGAACTGCGAAAATCAGTACTCATACTCAGATAATGTACAACCTGTTTTGTATCACAAGATTAAATAATTTCTTGGTGCATTGATGTTCATGCTGAAAACTGAAAAATGCACAAAAGCGGTTTATATACACAACGCAAACGAATAAGTTCGTTAATCAGGCGGTTTACACGACGTTTCGGCTCATCTCTCGCGAACCTTCTTTGGGGTGGTTCGGATTCGTTACTGCAGTTGGCTGTCTGGTCCGCAGCTGTTGTGGTGTCTTGAGACAAATTTTTGTTTTTGGCCCATGCTGCTGGTTAAGTAGTTTTATGGTCACGGGTTTGAGAAGGCCTGTCCAAACCGCGAATTCGTATTCTTTGTCTCGCTTAACATGTTTTCAGGATTAGATTATTAATGCTTCCTTAATTCGTCTGCTAAACCAGTTTATTTCTTTTTTTGACTATGCCCACGTAATAAATCGGGGGAGGGGGGGGGGATTTTTCCGCTGCTTGTTGCACGATCTTCCATACCTTTCTACACTGTTCTTTGACTTTGCTTGACTTTGAGGGTAGGGTTTGTTTTCTTCTTCGATATTTCGCTGCCGCATGTCATTCGCGCGTTTCCGCGGGCATCGATCTTCTCTCTTTTTACAGGTGATCCTTTATTCTTTTGGTGATGGTATTTCCGCTTTCTCCTATGTGGTATTCCCACAGTTGCAAGTTATTTAGCAAATCCAGCCTAAAACGTTGTTATTGTTAGAGTGAGTCAATGAAGCACCACGTTTATTGGAGCTTTTGTGTTTAGCGCTGATATAGTACTTGGTGTTAAGCAGCTTGCAACTGTTCACTACAATTTAGATATTGCGGTAGTTTATCATACGGCCCCATGGTTCTTTGGACCCTGTCATATTGTGATACTAAACATCAAGTGCTGGGTCGATCAAACAGATATTCGAATTCAAGCCAATACCTAGATACTCAGCAATATATAAAAAATTGGCGCCGGTTAAAAAAATAATCTGGCTTACATGCAATCTAGAGGTTTCGGTATTTAATGATTGCTTAATATATCATTGGCTAAAAGGGCCAGTGATAAAATATCTGCTGCGGAATCTGTACCGATCTTTCATTATTTAAATCGTCCTGTTTGAATGCCCATCTTGCATGGTAAGCAGAAATGCTCAAATTCTCTAAATTACAACATCATTATCTTCCTATTCACCGATAAGAAAACTCTGACTTTTTCAAATAAACAGTCTTGCATACCTGGTCATCATTGTTTCAGTGACGTAATGTGGCTTTTCTTTCCATGATTCTCTCAGGTTTCCTTCTGATGATTTGCCACTCAACAAGCTGCTGCAAACAAGTGCTTACTCAATGGTTCCAACCAATCAGCCAGAAGCAATCTCAAAATGAAGACGTTTGCCGATCATCTGCATTGTACCGTATAAAATTAAATGGTACCGATAATCATGATTATCTACCGTTCAGCGGTGACTTTAAAACTCCTCTTAAGTTTAGTACATTTGCGTCTTCGCCTTTAATACCATCCAGATTTAAAAAAAAATTTTCTGCGCCTTATCATCTGACGTTATATTGTATTACTGTTTGTGAAATATCTCTCGTGGTGGATGGATTCTGTGGCGAAACCGAGTTGTCGAATTTAAGAGAAACGGGAATCTTGTGTCATATCCAAACCGTTCATAGTGAAAAGGTGGAAAAATTAAATGACATTAGATGTATTATAAGAACGTTTAGAACATAAAAATAAACTACTTGTACTGCTTCTTAGTCTGACTGCTGCGCGACAACAAAATACTTCATCTCCACAGTCTAATAGTAATTTTTATGCAGTTTTACTTGTAAAATTGCATGAAACACGGTTTGTCCATATACAAGGTACACTTAAGTATGCTACACATAAGTCAGTCAATCTGGTCAATTGGATGATTAACCAGCACCGATGTTTCGTCTAGTATCTCAAGAATTTTCTTCAAGGTCGAGTAAAGAGTGAGTTTCAGAAATCTGTATTTTCGTTCGTAACCGGAGGCAAGCATTTGGAGGGTGCTTTTGGTCAAGAAGTCGCCAGCCTACATAGGTGACAGGACTCATTCAATCTTCTCAGGTTCGTATCCTTTGTCACAGGACCGGATGATTAATACCTCTTTGACGTGCCAGAATTGAAACCTATTTATTTACAATCGAGTCAAACATTTTTAGAGATGCCGCCGGCCCAGTTTCAACGAACCTTACAATTCAGCAGTGCACCGCCAATCACACATGTGAATACGGTTTAGCGAATGATTTTCAGGTTAGTTGATAGGAGGAGAGTTTCAATGAAGGTTGATACCAACTTTTAGGTTGTAAGACTTGAAAGTGCCTTCGGCCATTTGACAACAGCTGGAATCTTTGCTTCCACTCTGAGTTCAGCTCTGGCATCGCTGGTGTCGGCACCGAAAGTATTGCAGGTATATGTACGACATTTTTTTGGCGTTGACACATCAGAGATAAATGTCATAAAGTGAAAGGTCACTCAGTCTCCATGTATCCTGAATTTCTATGCCTTTGCCAAGGCGGCAAAGCGAACAGTGCTGTTTCTTTCAATGTGGACATTGTCCAGATCGTCCATGCCTCATGTTCACGTTATTTTCTGCATAAGAAATAGAGTAAATCGGATGATGAACTAACGTTCCTTCCTTGAAATAGTATAAACGATTACCCGACCCGTAGTCTACCTTGTTGCTAATGATAGGTTCTTTGCACAAACATGTTAAATGCTAGGTCTTGGTTAAGTTAGTTAAAAAACAACAGCGTAGCTCATCCCTTAATTAAAAGAATGATGTGATTATGCATTAATTTGGCTATGTTGTTAGCACCCGTGATTTTAATAGTGCTGGTCATTCAGTTAAGCGAACGATGCTTATGTTCAATGATTTATCGTCTAATTAGACTCATTTACCCGACTACCTGCGTCGTGCTCGTATATCTTCTCTCTTTTACCTTTGCAAATGTTATAATCCGTTCAGAGAGAAAACGATAAGGAGGAAAGATTTAATTCCTTTATGCCTTTAACAATCGGATCAGAAGGTTTTATGTTTGTGAGGATTCATATTTCAGAAGGGACTTTTCCTCATGTTTTTTTTTTGCGTTGGTCAGTATTGACTTTTGTCTCTGACCCGTTCCTACAGAATTATAGCTGAGGGATTCATTTTAAATAGAGGAAAAATACGTATTTATTGCGTGAAGCTTTTCAGCTCAGAGTAGCCTCCATTTTTTTCAGCATAAATTGGTAATGAGAGCACATTATTTTGTGTTCAACAAAGAAACCTGTTGTAGGTTGAGATTGTTTCACTTAACAAGTACATATTTTTCAGGCTTTTAACTACCTCCTGTTTATTATAATTAGGTGCCTGCCTATGTCTTTTCGAACAGAATTACTTTTTACCTCAAGTAAATTGTTTTATAAGCAACAGAAAGCTAGTAGATTACTGTTTACCGTTGCCATGCAATATATTGTTTATATGGTATTAAACAAGTCTTCAAGCTGAGGAAAAAAGACATTGTGCCATTCTTCGTTCTGAACATTGATCCCTGACTTTCGATGGTGCCAGTTCTTTGAAACTCAAACCTCAATATTACAGGTATGAGAAGGTCATCAATACAGATTTCCTTCACGCCTTGTCGTTTAGTCAGTCAGACGTATGGTCTTTGCAGATGATGATATATCGCATACGTAGGTATTCCTCGGCTAGCCTCGTGTCAGAGAAAGAGACTGTTACATAATCAGCTTAAAACGTTAGGCAATGTTTGTTCGCACTGGATCAGCAGACGTTTGCTTTCAATTCGTTGTGAAGACCCTTTGAAACATTTTGCGGTATGATGGACCTAGTGCCTGAGAGCTTGGCGTATGATTTGCAAATAACAGAGACGGCATGGCCTGCATTTCCTCATTTTGGCAAGACCAGACAACAGTATCACGCGAGTCCGTCTTGTGGCTATGTTTCGCCTTAAC